ACTTGTTCATATGCAGCTCACATGCTGATCCCTAATTAAACCTCTTTATTAATACACTTCTTAACAAATAGCAAGTAACTTTGTTAAAAACCAGTCAAAAAACATTTTTTCTACAACGTGAGAGATGGGCACAATTTGAATCCATAAAAGATGCTAACATTTAAATTAGACAAAATAGAGAAAATTTCATAATCAAACAAAGGCCTTAAACATAAATACATATTCCATAGTTATTGTTCAGTTCCTGTGGTCAATTTATGGTGCAATGGAACCACTGTAAATGCAATTAGCAATCAGACCACAGGTTTCCAGTCCCGATTAGTGAAAACAATGCACCTTCAGGACACCAGAAGTCCTACAACAATGGGTAATCACAGAAAATGAAGAAAACACATCCCTGTTTCCTCTCAAGAATCAGGAGAGGGAGTGATAAACAGTACGTTTACACATTTCCATTATCATAAATATCATTATGATGTGTTGTGTTTTCCTGTGACCTAAATACCTATGACATATTGGAAATAACCACCCATTAGGAAAACCAAGTGTTCATCCTGCTCTGCTTATTCAAAAATTCCTAAGTTTTTCAAGACAGCATAGAAGAAAGCATGTGCCAGATTAAAAAGCATTAAGAGGAATAATAATGGAAAGCTTGACTAACTGCAGCATTCAAGGCAAACCAGATAAACAAAACAAACAATTATTTCCCTATAAGAGTGCTATAGTTGTTATAGTATATATTCAGATACAAGAGTTAATATTTTAAGAATAAATTAATGGACTTTAGTTATCATAAACTAGATTAATAGTTTTAACCATCAGATGAAATATTCAATGCATTTTTCAGGAAAGAACACTTTTAGAAAGAAGATATCACAACTTCTGAGTAATATTCCAGATCTCTTAGCAATACAGATTATTGTTTTGTGTTAGAAACAATAAACGATTCATAAATAAGACCCTTCCTTTTTAAAAAGGACAAAAAGGTAAAGATTCAAAATGTGTTACATGGAAAAAAAAGTAAGGAGATGGTATCAGAAACCGTAATGATAGAGTAACAAAATATTTTAAATGAACACCACATGCCAACAGTCTGTTGCCAAGTCCTGTGACCAATTTGAATTAAAGAGACTGTCTCCAGTTTATAACACAGGATAAACCAACATTTTCAGTGAATGGGAATTCTCCATGCCAGTGGTCATTTCCTTTAATTATCTCCTGAATATTTTGGTGAAAACTGTAGCCTATGGAGTCTAGGAATACAGAGATGGAATAATAGTCCTTAACAATGAGGTAAACTCAAACAATAACATTAAAACACCCACAGAGGGCCAAGACAAACTTTGTGACCTGAGCTTCTGAACCACAGCTAAAGAAAAACAAAGGCATATGAGGTATTGTGAGAAGAGTGAACAGATATAATTTTATTGAGTTTCCATGACATTTGTTTTTAATTTATTTTAATAATTGCAATATGTGACCACTTTTTTGTATTACCTTAACCTGCAGCTTTGCCTCCGTGATTCTGCTTTTCCAAGATGCTACAAACTTCAGGCTGTCCATGGAACAACCCATTAATCTTTATATAAAAAAATCAAGACATGATACAATTTTACAAAAATTATTTACATTTGTACAAATCAAAAGGAAAGCGTTCAGAACAAAGCAAAGTAAAAGAGAAAAACAAGAAAATATATACATAGATGCAAAACATCTTACAATCAGAAAGTTATTACATTATTTTTTGTGGCAGGTGTACTGACATTTTATTTAACAGATACCATACAGGTTAATGTGGTTATATTGATTCATATTGCAATTAACAGAGTGTATATTTCAATTAAACATAGTTGATTAAAGTTATGAAAGCAGGCAATACACCTGTTGTGAGACATTGTCGATGACAGGATTGCATTTAGGCTATGAGAGATGTGTGACAATGTAAGATTTTCCATGTACTGTATAAAAGAACATAGAATTTGTTGATGCTTTCTGTTCAACTTTCTGGAGGGTCTTTTCGTAATAAACTTATTTTAAAACTACATTGAACTGCTCTGTGACTTTGTGCATCCCTACTAGGGGGTCCGTTGTGAAAGTCAAAGACTAGTAGTACACGTTGCCACTGAAGCAAGTAATATAATAATTTGCAATCTAATGTCTTGTGGTATTCTGTCCCATTCCTCTAAACACATGTTCCCAGATCACAGGTCTTTGAGCCCTAGATGCCACACATTATCCCTTTCCACCCCATCCAACAAATGTTCAATAGAGTTTAGGCTTGGCAAGTTGGGCATCTCACAAGAAATTGTTAAATGAAGTTTGTGCAGCAGGAAGATTCAGTACGTCGGGATAAGCCCACAGGAAGGGTAGTATGTGAGGTCTCAGCACTTAACTAATACAGTGCTATGCATTCACGCTGCCATCAATTATTACAAGTGGAGTTCTGTAGTGACTAGATAATCCCGCCCATATCATCACACTTTGATTGGGCTGCTGTACACAGCAGTGAAGGATATTAGTCTATACACCTGTGCCATACTCATTAATGACTATCAGGTTGGTCAACACAAAACCTAAATTAATTGCTGAAGAAGATCTGGCTTCATGTTGGTGAGTCCACCTGAGGTGTGTTTCCAACATACTGATGGCACAGATCATTTTTCTCTTTAAAAGTAGAAAAAAGTATTTTATAATTTTTTCATTGGTTTCTTTGTGCTGTTTTTCTTTCTTGATTCTTACCAGGCTTGACATTCAACAAGTTACATCATCCATTAACTGTGCTCAACCAACTTAATGTCTCACCACTTGGGAGCCAAAAGGTTAATAAACCAGGATCTAACTGTCTTAAAGGCCATTTTCACATACTAATTAAGCTAAACAATGGTATTGGGTATTTCGCATCATGACAGTGTAAGCAAAGATAATTTTTATGGAAGCATTTGTTTTGCATGGTTTAATAAAAAAGGATGACATGTTGAGATATATTTTTGTTATACTTCATATAACATAATTATGTATAATAGCTTCAAAGATAAAGCAGTCTGATCATTAATAAGGAGAAATGGGCAGAATGCACCTCCAAACGAGTCCACACACTTACCGTGCTGTCTCCTGTCTTAGCGCATTAAGGAAAGTGTCGGGGTGGAAGAGTTCGGACAGGTCCAGAGCATCAGAGAGCAAACTCTGTCTTCCTGCCTTTTCTACCCAGCTCTAGAGTTTCAAAACACAAAATGAAAGGAACTTAATGTAATTTCATGGATTGTATTGCAAGATGTTACAATAATCTGTGGCAGTTGGATGTGTCTTATACAATGGTGTAAAGGCACTATTCTAAAGTTATGAGAGAGTAGTACTGCAAGTGAACAGTTCATCTTATACTGAGATAGGCACTTTTACATAATTATTTTTGCTAATTTCTAAACTTGTGAGCTTTCTTGCGATTCACAAACATTAGTTGTCTTCCTCCTAATTTAATATATTAGTTGTATATGTAAACTCCTTTATGGAATGTTTTAAAATATGGTTTTGTCTTGCACGTTATAAAAATCATACACAGCTTTGTTTGTAAATCACACCTACTGTACATTCCCATGATTAACCCCAATTAACCTTGTAATTGTTTATGCTGAGATATCCAATGCACAGGCATTGATGAACAGTGACAGCGTATCTGGGGACTCAGATTTATAATCTCACCTGTGCCACAAACTTGCTGTGTGCACCTGAGGCACTGTGACCTAGCCAACTCAATGTTGAACACTGACTGCTCACAGAATTCCACATTTCACATTAATACTAATAAAAAAACATAACAAAAAGATTTTATGAAAGTTTGAAAATTATAGCATTCTCTTAATTACATGCTCATACTGTTTGAAGTATTTACAATAAAATATCAACATACAAATCACCATAGCAAATTATTTGCTTTTTCAGTCTTAATAAACAAATAATAAAGATGGAACTACTGTAAATTAGTAAAGCACAAGGTGAAGCTGGAAACTGCTTTATGAATTGAATTATTTCTTTCTTGGTTAACTTCCACCTAACGGGTCTGTTGTGTGTGTTAAATATCAAGAAGTTAATTTTTGTCATGGAGCAAAACATCTATGGTATCATTAGAATTTGTGGGAAACCTTCTGGCTTTATTTTGGTCAGAAGAATCACTAACAGAAACATTAAACCTGCATATTTATATTATAATTTAAATTGTCTCCTTTATATAAAATGCTACAGATACATGGTAAATACAGTTTTGTTATGCAAACAAAACATGCAAGAATACTGTCTGCAATGCAAAATGAAATTAAGAAACCCATACACCGTAATACAGAAAATACAGTAGTTCTTTTCCATTTGATGAATCTCTGATTCCATGAAGATCAGGATTTAGTGTAACTTATCTCTGGAACGTGGGTCTGTTAACAGTTTCAAGTGTCACGTCTGCAGTTTGTACTTGTCTGGGATCCTATCTGCAGTTTCTTGGACACCTTCAAGTCCACAAAAGCCACACAACACGCAGGGAAAGAAGCCAATCCATTGAGCAAAAAAAAAAAACTGGCCATATAACCCAGAGAGCTTACAATTCCTTTGAAGCTCCAAAGGGTCACTTCATCGTTACAGGTTCACACTGATTTAGTTACTCTAGGGCACAAGGGCAATCACTGTAACAGATGAGCATTGGATACTCCTTTGTGTGCATTCCCAGACTGTAAAGGTGACAAGACATCCATCAATGTAAAAATCAATCAGACTCTAGATGGAAAGGGATATTCTCTGAGACTTATAAATTCACATTAAATACATAATGTTAAGTTGGAAATTTGAACATTGAATAGATACAGTAAGCCTTCATCAATGGACCTGATTCAAAGGAGTAAATTATGAACTGAGGAGATAAAATTATACATGATTACTATGTACATTCTTGTACACATTAAATATTTTCTTCAATTAAATATCAGGTATTTTAACACGTATCCCTTTAACATAAATGAAGAGCAGAGCAGAGCACTGCATTGATCTTAACTAGATAATAATAGTATTAGTAAATGGATCTACTCATTTCTGGTTTTTATAGTTTGATCAGGTTTTGAAACTTTAAAAATAGGTTGTGAGGCATCGTTTACTGAACTCAGATTTGTATGTGTCATCCTTATACGTGATATAAATTATATAAAGGTCAGAAGATGCAACAAAATAATTACTGTGGGTATTTATATTCATGAAAGAAAAATAAAACATAATACAAAGAACTGTTTTGACAAAAAGTCACAGTGTTTCCTTTCAGGAAACACTGTAATTATCAGAGACAGAAAAGGATGATTGCATTTATTTAGAACTGCCAGTGTCCTCTTTTGCTTAATCTGGTTACAGTAATTACAGGTTGGGATTAAAAGGTTACACTGTAGCAAATTGTTCAGACACTCTGCTTCATAATCACTTTGACACTGAAAATAATAAATTAATTTTTGTGGTCTATAAAAAGAATAATGCTTTCCTTTACAAAACATCTACTGAAGATAATCACTGGCAACTATCCTGCCTTCAGAACTGGCTGCACAGATTAGTTTTGATAATTGGTTACACAGTCATGACAGAAATGGCCATTAAATTACTGCATTTATTGTTTTGTAGTATACCAAAACAATAAGTGCAAATCTACAAGATGGATGGAAGACATAATCTTTCATCAAAATTAATGTCTTATGTTGCACCTTGCTTTAGAAAACTGCCTGGAACCATCTTCATCTTATAATCTTGGAGTTCTTTTTGACAACTAGATTTCTTATGTTCTTAAACACTACTAGATTCTGTCCCTATCTTTCCTTATCTGATGTTTGAGGTTCTTTAAAATGCTGTTGTTGTAGACCACTGCAACACTCACTTTATTGGCCTTACAGCACAAGCTATCAATAGACCACAACAAGTATAAAAATACAGCTGCCAGAACCTTGACCAGAAACAATTATTGTGCACATAAATACTCTTCAACTGACCCTGCTGCACTTATTCCTTGTCAAATAAAAGGTTATTTTAAAAATGTTCTTGTTCACATATAAAACTCTCAAAAACTCTGTTCTTGGATACCCTTTCATCCAACTTTATTACACCAGATGCAACTTAATATCTTCCCAGCCACCTTATTAATTCCAGTCTAAAAATATACTGTAACTCTCGGTATTCATAATAAAGTACATTTGTTGTTATTCGCACTTAACTCTCTTTTTTATTTTTTCTTAAACTACAGTGATTCTGATTTTTTTCATGGTTATTCAGTACAGCACAACCAACATGGGACTCACTGTACGAAACCACCAAATTGTACACATGTAATTGGTCACATGTGTTACTGCATCTCTCCCCAGAAGTAAGAAATAACACAAAAATAGCAATAATAGCAGTGGGTGCAGTTATTAAAAGTACAAAAAAGAGTGTTTTTAATTCATTATTTGGATAATCAAAATATTAGCCTTTTCCCTTCCCAACCAAACTGCAAGGATTTAACAAAATATACAAAATATTATAAACTTTATAATGTTCCATGCACCAACACCTGCAGCAGGTGAACAATGCTGAGGACTAAACTTCTATCGATTCATTTCAGGTTCAGTGAATGATGGCAACCTGTTTAGCTGTGTGTTTACAATACTACTTGGATGTAAGGTTGGAGTTCAATGTTTTCAAAAAGAATGTAGTGTTGCCAAGAAGACATTTCTTGCCCGTCATGTCATAAACCCATCTTATTGAGTAATAAAATCAGTAGGCTAATCTTAGCTGATGGAATTCAATGTTTATAAATGTAATTTACAGTCCACAACCACATTAAGTTGCAAAAGATTTGTGAATTTTCCATTTCAGCAATTTGATCCGTATCTTTCTTAATCCCTGCGGGCAAACTGTGCTTCATGTACCGCATATAATAAAAGAATCATAGAGACTACTGTTTTTTTCACTTTAATGTTTCTAAGATGAATTTGAGTATTACTTTTAACTTTGAATAACTTCCAAATTATGCCCCATCTTGTAGGGTACAATTAGCGTATTCAGATGCTGAAAGAAATGCTTATGTGTAGGATGAGGACAGAAATTGACAACCCACATTCTACTGCATGTTTAACATTATGCTAAGGTGCCATTATCAGACTACCCATTTTTCAGTAGTCCTACAGGTTTTTTTTTTACATTTGTTTCAATTTTTGAGATAGATGAAAAAATATCCTATTTGCATATTGCAATACTTATTACATGCTAAATTACTTCCATTACTTTTTAAAATAAGAATTCACTGGTATCTAGTAAATTATATCACTATTCTCTTGTAAGAATTGTTCAGTTCCAAATATAATTTTAAATACATTCTTTGCAAAATACCACTTAGAACAGCTGATCAGACAGCCCTATTTATAATTTTCTAACACATTCAACTGAAATATATAAAATGGCAATTATAAAAGGATTAAAATGGACTGTAGCTAGGAGAGTGGATGGACAGGTACATTGATGGGTAAATGCTGCCAAATTCACTGCATTAAAAATACTTTTAACATACCCTTTACATTTGTAAAATGTTATTTTAATAATTGTTAATTAATATTGTAATATTTTAAAATATTTTAATACATTTATTTGAATAATCAAACATTTTTGGATTTAACAGCATGACATTGCAGAGAAGAAACAGCAGAAGCTGGTTTTTCAATAGTCTCAATTGTATCTTATCCTGAGACAAACTTCAGGATCCTTGTCTATAGCACTGATTTTTCACAACTCAGGGTGCATTAGTACTTTGTCAGCTGATGGGACTGAAGCTATAATGCTTTGAGTAGTATCTCATCATAACGTACTACAGAAAGAAAGTGTCTGTGCATTAAATGGATAGTCAGGTCTAAGATATGAAAGTACAATCCAGTTGTACAGATCATTGTGGTATTTGGTCCTTACATAATACAGTGCCCTCCCTTTGTTTGTTTAAAAAGATAGGAAGTGTATTTTAAAGTGTCTGTTATGGCTAAATTCCAGCACAGACAAACAGACTTCCAACTTGGCTGAAGTCCTTTTTCCCTGAGTGTGACAGAGCCAAGGATTTAGTTTTAGCCAGTCTGTGCCTGTTTGCAATGCCTGACAACATTACCCAGTAGTACAATGTAAGTTACTTAAAGTGCCAGTTTGTTTACAAGGTTTCAAGTTCAAAATGGTAAAAGATCTTT